GGGCACATCCCCAGTAGGAGATGCGCAGGAGGCGGCTGATCGATGTTTCTCTCTCATCGATGTTTCTAACTCTCTATCTCTCTCTCCCTTCCTCTCTGTAAAAAATCAATAAAATATATTAACAACAAAAAAAAAGAAGTGCTTCTCCCAAGCAACCACGGTTATAATACCAGGGGACACACCAGTGCACCTGAGCAGGGCAATCTGAATGCACGCAATAGAGGGGCGTCATTGCAGGACTCGTCAATGCCTTTCTTCTCTGCGGCTAAGGAAATACATCCTCATCAGAGCGACGAGAAGAAGCAAAACTGACACCGAAAAGGCTCTTTTCTTTTTCTTTAAAATATATTGATTTTAGAGAGGGAGAGGGAGAGAGAAACATCCATGATGAGAGAGAATCATGGACCGGCTGCCTCCTGCACGCCCCACACTGGGGATCGAGCCTGCAACCCGGGCATGTGCCCTGGCCGGGAACCGAACCGTGACCTCCTGGTTCATAGGTCGATGCTCAACCACTGAGCCACGCCAGCCAGGCCAAAAAGGCTATTTTAATTTGCAAATAAGGGACCTGAGCTGCTAGGAGGATCAGCAGGGGCCCAGAGCGCTCGGGCAAGGGGGAGGGACGGGGCGGGGGGCGGCGGGCACCGGGCAGGCAGCCAACTAGCCAACTTCTGAGACTTCAGCCCCGTCGGGCAGTGCCACGGAGTCTGTGTGAAGAAGGGAAACAGAAAAGCTACCAATTCGGTCCGTGAGCACAGGCCCGAAATCACAGTCTTGAAATCGAGAGCAGGCGAGACCCTTCTGCCGCGGGCAGTCTCCTGTGGTCTGCCAGGGACGGGAATAGAAATAGCAACTGAGAACACAGCCTCGCACGGGCTGAGGGCACCCATGGCCAACAGCTGCCCATTAGTAGGCCCTGGGGCCGTGTGAGGGGATCTCCTCTCTCTGAGGCGTGTGTTTAAAAATATATCTTGCTTCTGCTCAGAGGTTGAGCGTCGACCTATGAACTAGGAGGTCACGGTTCGATTCCCGGTCAGGGCACAGGCCCGGGTTGCGGGCTCCATCCCCAGTGAGGGGCGTGCTAGAGGCAGCCGATCGATGATTCTCTCTCTCTCTCATCATTGATGTTTCTCTCTCTCCCCTCTCCCTTCCTCTCTGAAATCAATAAAAATATATTTTAAGAAATAAAGAAATACTAGTAAAGCGCTTGGCAAGCGTCAAAGTCAAGATCGGGTGCTGAGCGATGCCCCCCTCACCCACCCTAGCAGATGCATGACCCGTGCGCCCGAGGCCAAGTTCCGCTGACGGACGGCGGTGTGGGCTGTGCCGCTGGCCGGCTCCGCGGGGAGCTGCCTCGGCAGGAACCCCTGACACCAGGCAGGTCCCAGCGCAGGTTCCGGGGAGCAAACAGCAGGTGATGAGCTGGAAGGCGGGAGGCTGCCAGGATCCAGCCCTGGGCGCCCAGCGCCTGGCACCGCTTCCCCGAGGGGAGGGCACGTGACCAGGTCACGGCAGGGTCAAGTGCGAGTCTGCCTCAGGGAACCCCTGGGGACTCCTTGTGGAAAACAACGGGCAGCTGCTTAAGGAAAGGGGTCCCTGGGGGAGGTCCCTGGGAGGGAGGCGGTTGCCAGGGACACAGGCGGCAGACAGCGGGAGGGGCGGGAGGCCCAGGTGAACGCCAGGTCGTCAGTGGTCACCAGCTCCGTGGGGACATGAAATGGAACAGTGAGGAGGAGGGTGACGAGGGTGACAATGGTCAGGGTTGGTGGGGCTTGAGGAACCGTCCCGTGAGCCGTTAGCCACATGGGCACCTCCACTTGTTCAGTTTGGGGGCTTTATTTTTTGTTGTTGTTAATTCGCACCTGAGACTACTTTTCCATTGATTTTTAGAGAGCGTGGAAGGGAGGAGACAGAGAGAGAGAGAGAGAGAGAGAGAGAGAGAGAGAGAGACATCTATTGGTTGCCTCCCACCAGTGCCCTGACAGGGGCCGGGAATCGAACCTGAACCCAAGGTATGTGCCCTTGATTGGAATCGAACCCAGGACCCTTTGGTGCAAGGGCCGATGCTCTATCCATTGACCTAAACTGGCCAGAGCTTTTTAAAAAATATATATTTTTATTTATTTCAGAGAGGAAGGGAAAGGGGGAGAGAGAGAGAGAAACATCAGTGATGAAAGAGAATCATGGATGGGCTGCCTCCTGCACGTCCCACACTGGGGATGGAGCTCACAGCCCGGGCCTGTGCCCTGACCGGGAATCGAACCGTGACCTCCTGGTTCATAGGTCGATGCTCAACCACAGAGCCACCCCGGCCTGGCAGTTTGAAGGTCTTTTGAACAAAACACAACGCAGGTTTTTTGGCTGCCAGATATTCGCAGCTACGTTCACCTCTGGTTTATGATGTGGGTGGATGGGTGGCGGGACACTGAGCCCAGGAAGACGCGACCCCGTGAGGAGAAAGGTGAGCCCACCAGGCGGCACCCTCCGGGGGCGCGGGAGCCCCTGCCTCTGGGCCGGGGACATTCCTTCTCCCCACGGCCCTGGACTGGACTCCTGGCTCAGCCGCTGCCCGGGAGTGTGAGCTGGGGCACGTCCGTGCATCTCTGTGAGGCTCAGTGTCCTGGCCCCTAAACCGGAGTCAATGACCTACCTGTCAGAACGGTTCGGGGCCGTCAAAGGAAGCAGGTGACCCGGGCGGCCCGATAAATGTTTGCTGAAATGGCAAAATCGCAGTCTGTATACAGTAAGGCCTCTTATCTCCAAGGGCGTTGAACCTCACAGTCACCTGGTGGGGAGAGAGGGGGCGGGGATTCAGGAGGCCTCCTGTCTCACCCCCCCAGGGGAGGGGGGCAGGGCCCAGAGCCCCACGTCCCTGCGGGCCGGTGACGGAGGCTGACAGCACCGGCGTGTCCCCTGGACCCGGAGTGTGGGCTGCAGGGCTGTTGGGAGCTCAGCGGTTGGCAGATGTGCCTGCATCTCTCCGGGGCCCGCACTGCTCCCCACTGCCAAGGGGCACCCCTTCTCCCAGGCCCCCAGGGTAACCCCCCAGGGAACCGAGGGCCCAGAAAGGGCACGAACAGGAGGAACAAAGGCACCAGGGAGGAGGCGGCTCATTCTACTCTTTCTTTCTTTCTTTTAAAAAAATTTATTTATTACTTTTGTTGTTGTTGTTAATCCTCACCCGGGGATATTTTTCCATTGATATTTACAGAGTGGAAGGAAGGGGGAGAGACAGAGAGAGAGAAACATCAATGTGAGAGAGATACATTGATTACTTGCCTTCTGCACATTCCCGCCCCCCACTGGGGCCTGCAACCGAGGTTCGTGCCCTCGACCAGAATCGAACCCATGACCCTTCCATTCATGGCCGACACTCTATCCACTGAGCATCGGTTAGGAGGTTCTAGTCCAGCGGTTCTCAACCTGTGGGTCGAGACCCCTTTGGCGGTCGAATGACCCTTTCACAGGGGTCGCCTAAGACCATCCTGCATATCAGATATTTACATGACGATTCATAACAGTAGCAACATGACAGTGATGAAGTAGCCACGAAAATAATTTGATGGTTGGGTCACAACATGAGGAACTGTATTTAAAGGGCCAGAAGGTTGAGAACCACTGTTCTAGTCTTTCCCAATGAACCTCCAGTTGCCACCGCGGGCGACTCCTGGGCCTACAGCTAACCTGCCTGTGCAGGGCCGGTTCCATGAGCTCATTGGAAAGCCGTGGTTTCCACGGTCACCTCTGTTCTCCCTTTCCTTTCTTCCCAACTCCCAGAGGCGGCTCCTGGGTGCTGAGATCTGGGGTCACGTGCCACCTGGGCCAGAACAAGTCTGCGCGGCTGCCACCCTCCCGAGAGGGCAGAGCGGGCGGCGCTGGCCCCGGGCCGCCCCGCGTGGGCTTTGGCAGGCGTTTCATCCTCGCTCTTTATCGCCAAGCCCGTGGGGCGAGTGACAGCGGCATCCCAAGCCTGAATGGGCTTGTCTGACGGGCCAGCTTTCATCCCGGGCGCTGCTGCCCGCCTGTGAGGGAGGAACTCGGCGCGGAGGGCGGTCATTTCACACCGATTCCTCGCTGTCATGTGCTTTGGGTTCTAACATGTCGCGTTTCGATCGCCTACCTCGCTGCGTGCCGTGAGGGAGAAGGTGGGCCTCGCGTGTGGTTGATATGTTTGTAAGAGACACACACAGAGGCCCCGCTCAGCTCTGAAGCAATAGCGCTAGGAGCTGACCAGCAGGCGAGGAACGCTGCCAGGTACAAACAAGCACTTTCAGAGAGTCCATTACTGCCTGGCCGGTGTGGCTCAGTGGTTGGGCACCGACCTATGAACCGGGAGGTCTCGGTTCGATTCCCGGTCAGGGCACATGCCCGGGGTTGCAGGCTTGAGCCCCAGTGAGGGGCGTGCAGGAGGCAGGCGATCCATGATTCTCTCTCATCATGGATGTTTCTATCTCTCTCTCCCTCACCCTTCCTCTCTCTGAAATCAATAAAAACATATTAAAAGAATAAAATAAAATCTGCACATTACTTTCACATTAAGAATATGAGCATGTTACTTTGATATTAGAAATGCACTAAAAATACAAGAAAAAAATTCATGTCAAGATATAAAATTAAAGCCTGGATGGTGTGGCTCAGTGGTTGAACATCAGCCTAGGAACCAGGAGGTCACTGTTCAATTCCCGGTCAGGGCACATGCCCGGGTTGCAGGCTCCATCCCCAGTATGGGGTGTGCAGGAGGCAGCCAATCCATGATTCTCTCTCATCACTGATGTTTCTCTCTCTTTCCTCTCAGAAATTAATAAAAATATATTTAAAATAATAATAATAATGATGATGATGTTCATTTTTACAGGAACTAAGATAAGGATGATTACATCTTGTGCCCCAGGCCCTCTAAACGGATCTCCACAGGAGGGCCGAGAATTAATTCAATTCCAGGCCACAGCCCCGCCCAACGCTCCACAGGGTGGCATAACGGGGACCAAGTGCCTGACGGGGAGACAGAGGGAAGCAGACAGATGCGTTCCCACCCCAGGTATTCACGCCCACGCCGATCGCGAGCGGGGGGACTGGATGGGCCAGGGGCTGAGCCAGTGCGGCGGCTCTCACGGTTTATTACACGCAATCTGCAGGGATGCTGTTTCCACACTTAATGGCGATCCCATCCCGAGTCACTATCTATTTCCCATCTTCACCGGCAGAACAGCCACCCGGAGCTGGCGCTGGGCCGTAAATACCGGGCCCCCTAGAGCCACTGCCGCCTTATATAGGGTGTCCCAGAATTCACGCAAGATTTGAATTTTGCGTGAGCACTAACAACAACAACAACAACAAATAAAAGCCTATTTTTACTTGGTTCATTGAATCCGATTCTAATATCTGTGGCCCTTTGATTTCAATCCCTTCCATTTGATAAGCATGACCGAGTACCAATGATGGCCCAGGAGCAGGGACAATGAAGACCAATGAAGACCACGGCTTTGCGTATGTGCCAGCAAAGCCGTGGAGGCCATTGACCCGATGTCCTATTCCATACATAACCCTCTACTGTATGCTTTATGAATCAATAACAAAACAATTTTTGTTGATTATAAACCTGTGTTTTCTATCAAAATTACTTCTTGCGTGAATTTTGGGACACCCTATAGATGCGCCTTTTCGTGTGTGCGTGTGCGTGTGCGTGTGCGTGTGCGTGTGTGTGTGTGTGTGCGTGTGTCTGACTCCCGCTCGCCCGTTGGCAGCCTTCCAGGCTCAGGGAGAGGAGAAAGCCATCCTGAGCATCCCAACAGCCTCGTTTTTGATCTGCGATACCCAGCAGCTCATTTCCACTTCACAGGCTCTGCTGCGAGAGACAAATCCCAGACGCTGAAGGGGCGGGAGGAGCTGGAGGGCCCGGGAGGCAGGGTGGCTGGCGGGCGGGAGGAGGGCGCGGGAGGGAGGATGAAAGCGGAGAAGGGCCGCGTGTATGAAGCTGTTTTTCTTTCGGTGAAAAGGAGCATTTATCAGTGATTTCATAGATCACGGGAGAGAAGGCTTCCTGCCAGTTTCCAAGAATGCAAACAAGCCCACTGACATCATTCGCTAAAAATAGCCGGGCCTCTGCCGTAGGTGAAGCCATAACCTCGGGAGGGGACATGGTTCTCTCTGGTTACATGTTTATGATGATCGGGCTGGCGGGCTCCTGTTGTTGGTAGGATCAGGTCTGGGTCCAAGGAGGAATGGGGCGAGAAGATCCCCCAAACAACTTTGGGGGGTGATGGAGGGAGCCCCGTGCCCGCTGTCTCCCTGGATGCCCAGTGGAGCCTGGCTTTGTGGGGGGGAAGGTTGGGGATGATGCTTCAGTTGCTGTGGATTTTCAAAGCCCTGGTGTGGCCCGGCCGGTGTGGCTCAGTGGTTGAGCGTCAACCTAGGAACCAGGAGGTCATGGTTCGATTCCCGGTCAGGGCACATGCCCAGGTTGTGGGCTCGATCCCCAGTGCGGGGCGTGCAGGAGGCAGCCGATCCATGATTCTCTCTCATCATGGATGTTTCTATCTCTCTCTCTGCCTCCCTTCCTCTCAGAAATCAATAAAAATCTATTAAAAATAAAAACAAAAAGCCGCGCACGTGCGTGTGTGTGTTGTGTGTGTGTGTGTGTGTGTGTATGTTTGCACGCACTGTATTTCCATGTCTCCAAACCAGTAAGGAGACTTCCCTGGCCAGTTTGGCTCAGTGGATAGAGTGTCTGCCTGTGGACTGAAGGGTCCCAGGTTCGATTCCGGTCAAGGGCACATACCTGGGTTGGAGGCTCCTCCCAGCCTGGGCCCTGGTCAGGGCGCGTGCAGGAGGCAACCAATGGATGTGTTTCTCTCCCATCGATGTTTCTCTCTGTCTTTCCCTCTCTCTTCCACTCTCTCTAAAAATCAATGGAAAAATACCCCCGGGTGAGGATTAGCAATAACAACAACAGAAAAACACCAGTAAGGAAAGCTGGCTGAAGACAACCAACTCCAGGCTCAGGGATGGTCGTGAGGCGGGGGCAGAGGCGAGTGGCTACAGGGGTGAGTGGGGGCGAGGTTTGAGGTGGAGCTGGCTGAGCATCTCTGTTCTGTAGGCCGGCAGGTGAGGATGCTCATCTAATGGGTCTGGACCCCCCACCCCCACCCCTCCCTCCTCCTGGGCCCCGAAGCTTCGATTCCACCCCAGAGCCTTTGTGTCTCGCTCACATGTTGGGGTGTGGAAGCCTCTGAAGAATAAAGATTTGTAATGAGACCTGAGATGCCTGCCTCATCCGTCCGTCACCCCACTAACCCTCCTCCCGGCTCAGCCCCGGGCTCACCCTGAGGAGGGGGCACCGGCCTCCAGGGCCTGGAGGTACGAGCGGAAGGGGTGGCTGGAGGGAGAAGAGGGGAGAAGAAAATCAGTGCAGGGAGATAAGGAGCCCGAGAATGGAAACCGCTCCGGGCATGGTTCGATTCCCGGTCAGGGCACATGCCCAGGTTGTGGGCTCGATCCCCAGTGCGGGGCGTGCAGGAGGCAGCCGATCCATGATTCTCTCTCATCATGGATGTTTCTATCTCTCTCTCTGCCTCCCTTCCTCTCAGAAATCAATAAAAATCTATTAAAAATAAAAACAAAAAGCCGCGCACGTGCGTGTGTGTGTTGTGTGTGTGTGTGTGTGTGTGTGTATGTTTGCACGCACTGTATTTCCATGTCTCCAAACCAGTAAGGAGACTTCCCTGGCCAGTTTGGCTCAGTGGATAGAGTGTCTGCCTGTGGACTGAAGGGTCCCAGGTTCGATTCCGGTCAAGGGCACATACCTGGGTTGGAGGCTCCTCCCAGCCTGGGCCCTGGTCAGGGCGCGTGCAGGAGGCAACCAATGGATGTGTTTCTCTCCCATCGATGTTTCTCTCTGTCTTTCCCTCTCTCTTCCACTCTCTCTAAAAATCAATGGAAAAATACCCCCGGGTGAGGATTAGCAATAACAACAACAGAAAAACACCAGTAAGGAAAGCTGGCTGAAGACAACCAACTCCAGGCTCAGGGATGGTCGTGAGGCGGGGGCAGAGGCGAGTGGCTACAGGGGTGAGTGGGGGCGAGGTTTGAGGTGGAGCTGGCTGAGCATCTCTGTTCTGTAGGCCGGCAGGTGAGGATGCTCATCTAATGGGTCTGGACCCCCCACCCCCACCCCTCCCTCCTCCTGGGCCCCGAAGCTTCGATTCCACCCCAGAGCCTTTGTGTCTCGCTCACATGTTGGGGTGTGGAAGCCTCTGAAGAATAAAGATTTGTAATGAGACCTGAGATGCCTGCCTCATCCGTCCGTCACCCCACTAACCCTCCTCCCGGCTCAGCCCCGGGCTCACCCTGAGGAGGGGGCACCGGCCTCCAGGGCCTGGAGGTACGAGCGGAAGGGGTGGCTGGAGGGAGAAGAGGGGAGAAGAAAATCAGTGCAGGGAGATAAGGAGCCCGAGAATGGAAACCGCTCCGGGAAGCTGTTGCATCCCTACTCTCATCACCATGTCTCTTCACAGCCAGGGAGGCAGGAGCGGCGGTTACCATGGCAACGGGTGCCCCGGCAGCACCGGGGGAAGGAGAGGGCCGGGTAGAAGGAGGAAAGAGAAAAAGGCACGGAACACGTTCGAAGCATCCAAGGGGGAAGCCACGGCGCGTCTCACTTCCCACGGGAGAGAGGACGTTGCGGAGCCCAGAGGACGCCCACTGCCACCACCCTGGGAGGGGCAGGGGCGCCCGGACGCTGTGACCCCACGGGAGCCTGCGTGCTCCGTGGAGCGTGGCCGTGGCCTTGGGGAACGACCTTGGGGATCAGGCCCTTACTTATTTCATCATCACCTGTTCTCCTCCCTGAGAGGAAGGACAAAGCACTTTGCTCCAGGAAGCAGCCACGATGCTGTTTAAGGCAGAAGCAGAACATCAAGAGCCCGGACCGCGTGGCTCAGTGGTTGAGCGTCTACCTATGAACCAGGAGGTCGCGGTTCGATTCCCGGTCAGGGCACGTGCCCGGGTTTTGGGCTCCATCCCCAGTGTGGGGTGTGCAAGAGGCAGCCGGTCCATGATTCTCTCTCATCATGGATGTTTCTCTCTCCCTCTCCCTTTTTCTCTGAAATCAATAAAAATAATAAAAATACATTTAAAAATAAATAAAAAGGGCCAGCGTGTCCTTGTGAGGCTGGGCCTGTTTGGGGAGGACAGGCAGCTGCCCCAGGGCCATGGCTCATTGGGCCCCGCCGGCCGGGAGTGGGTGGGTCGGGGGGACACGGGGGAGAGCGTGTTTCTGGTGACGGAACCGTTGCCGGGGCCTCCAGCCGGGAGCCTGCACCAGCCTGCGGCCGGGAGGGAGGAGGCCCGACCCGCATTCCCACGGCCGGGAGCCCTGGATTCCAGAGAACTGAGCTCCTAGACGGAGGAAAGACACGCTCCGGCCCTCTCTCCTGCCCGGGGACCGAAACACCGGACTCTGGTTTCCCCGCTGCCTTTCCTATTGTTTCCAGATGTTGTCGGAGGAGGAGCAGGCCTTTCAGACAGACATCTTCGTCTTCCGGCTGATTCACCTCCTGAGGTCTCATCGGAGCTATTTTTTTCAAAAAATATTTTTTTATTGATTTCAGAGAGGAAATGAGAGGGGGAGGGGGAGAGAGAGAGAGAGAGAGAGAAACATCAATGATGAGAGAGAATTATCCGGCTGCCTCCTCCTGCACATCCCCCACTGGGGATCGAGCCCGCAACCCAGGCATGTGCCCTTGACCGGGAATCGGACCAGGGACCCTTCAGTCCGCAGGCCGACGCTCTATCCGCTGAGCCAAACTGGCCAGGGCTAAGTCCACTCCCCTTTAGAAAAAAGCATCACTTGTAGTAAACCGTATGGAGGGCTGTGCGCTCCACTTCACGATAAATAAAGTGACGTGCGGCCACCCTGATGGAGGCAGCAAGTCACAGGGAAGTGCGCCAGCATCTGACGCTGCTGGAACGGCACATCTTATTAGGGAGCCCTTTACACTTGAAATATGCAAAACGCACACGAAAATTTAGCCGCGGAGGTAACGTTAAATATTTAACGCCACAATTAAGTCTTATTAATGGTTGGCCCTTTCTATTATCTTGCAGATTAAACATTCACAGCGACAGGATCCGCTCTTTCGTTT